ATCCAAAGGGGAGAACTAAGAATTCATAGTGTCTATAGTGGGTTCTAAAAGCAGTCTTATGGATGTCTTCTTCTTTGATACAGATTTGATGGTAACCAGAGTAGAGATCAATCTTGGAGAAATATTTGGCACCAGCTATTCAATTTATTAATTCCTCTATATTTGATAGTGGGTACTGATTCTTGATGGTGACCTTGTTTAAGGCTCTATAATCTATATAGAGGTGTAATGTTCCTTCCTTTTTATGCACAAAAAGCATAGGAGCACCAAATAGGGAGATGCTAGGTCTAATGAATCCTTTGGCAAGGAGGTTGGCAAGTTGTTTCTTGAGTTCATCCATTTCCACATATGAGAGATAATAGGTAGGTTTTAAGGGTGGTTCAGTTCCAAGTAGCAAATCTATGGCGTGATCAATGGTTCTTTGGAGTGGCAACTCATTTGACAATTCAGAAAAAAATACATCAGTAAATTCCTTGAGAATAGCAGCTTCTTCAGACAGCAAAACTTGTTTTCCTTGGGCATGACTTTCTCAGCAGTGATGGTACAAATGGCCAATAATTCTTTGATAGATAGAATCCTTGCAAATTAATATCTGGAACTAAAAAGGGATTGGCACTCAGGTTCTTGCTTAGTTCTGCATAGGCTAGCATTGACAATGATTGTACATGGTCCATATTAAAAGGTAAGGGTATTGCTTCTCCAATTGATATTAGGATTGACATAATATAACCAGGGCTTCCCAAGTATAGCATCATATCTTTGCAGGCTCAGAACTTGAGCAGAGATCTCCATAGTGTGGTAGGTGTCCAACTCTAGTTGCTTGATACTAACTTCAGTGATGACTTCCTTCTTTCTTCCATCATCAAGTTCCATGATAAATGGCATGGTGTTCTTTTGTGATAGCTATTGTCTTGCAACAAACTTTTCGTCAATAAAATTATTTAATGCTCTACTATCCAAGAGAATCCAGGCTTTGTGTTCATTAATTTTTCCATTAAAACTTAGCATCTGTTTCTTGTTTTCTTCTATCTGAATAAATTCAGCATCTGGGGTGTGTAAGGTATCTTCAATATTGTTCACCTTGGCTTTTGAGTGGCTTCTAGATTCACAAGTAATGTATCTTTCCTTTCCACAGTTGTAGCAGGTAATAGTTTTTCTTTTAGTGTTGTTATATTATTGAGTTTTAGCTTGGTCCAATTCACCAGGCATGGTTTCCTCTATAGCAGTTGTTGTTGACTAGTGGTCTTCTTGCATTGTTTCTTCTGTTGACAGATTTTTCAACTTCAAACATGGTGGTATTATACCTGATTACTAATTTCCATGCATCTCCAATGTTTTGGAAGCTTTATAACTCACTTCTATACGTGTTGCAGGCTTTAGGCCATCAATAAAATAGACAACTTGGTCCAATTGTCCCATGGTATCAATTTGGCTTACTATATTTCTAAACTGGGTAAAGTACTCTTGAATGGTTCTTGTTTGGCACAGGTGTTTCAGCTGAATGTGTAGATACTGTTGATAGTAAGGAGGCTGAAAAGCATTCTTGAGCTCCTTCTTGAATTCATTCCAGAAGAGGAAGACAGGTGGAGTAGAATCCTTGACCTTGTTAACAAACCAGTGTAGTGCAGCATTTTCAAATCCTATGGTGGCATAGTGAATCATTTGTTCTTTCTCGGTGACTCCTTGAGCTCTCAAGATGTTTTTTGTTTGACACAGCCAAACCTCAACATTTTTTCCTGATTCTCCTTTGAAGGTAAAAATTCTCAATGTGATCTTGGGTGTGGTGGTTGAAGAGGAAGAGAAACCACTTGTAGTAGTCTTCTCTTTGCCATTGTCTTCCTTTATTCCTTTAATCATAGTATTCATAATGTTATTAAACTGTTGCATGAAGTGTATAAATTGTTTGATATTTATTTTGACAAAGTTTCAGATATGTATATATGTAGCAAGGGGGAAACGTCTTGTTAGTTTACTGCTATCAAGTTGTAAAAGACTTGAAATGAATGTATTAGAGACAGTGAATTCTTAGGCAATGAGTTTAATGTGCAAAAGAGTTATCTTTATTAAGATCAAAAAATAGCCTTTTTATATATTTTAAAGTAGCGCAAAATAAATATAAAATATATAGGGCTAAAAATATATAAATAATATGGCTTATAGTCTGGACAACTTATGTAATATATAGCTAATCATAAATAGAAAATAAGAGAAAAGAAATAAAAATAAAAAGAAATATTGATGCCTTGTTCACTATAGTCCGATAGTCAATTACTATTTATAATGAACAAGTTCAGATAATCTATATGGTATGATTGTGATGTTATCTTGGTATTATGATGTTGGCTCGATGATTTCAGCAGTTTCAGCAATTTCGGTAGTCTCAGCAGTCTCAGCGAAAATAGTGTGATAGGCTTAAATTGTTACACTATGTCACATATATCCTTGTTTACATTTCTACTAACCATGAAGCAACCAATCCCAGACTTCAATCAATCAATCTGTCTAGAATCTGATGTAACAGAAAATTCAGGATCAAGTTAAGATAGGCAAAATTCCCTAGAAAAATCAAAAAAATTGTAACATGCTAAGAAAGAAATTATTTTTGCCTATAATATTGATGTTAACTTGTTGACTGGCATACAGTTATTAGTTCAAACTTTTTTCTGGCTTTGGAATCTCCATAGGGAAGAGAGGAAAAGTATTTTTTTGTCTTGTTTCTTCTTTCTAAAAAAGCTCTTTTGCCATTAACTTCTTAGGTAGAGGTTTGTGAAAAGGAAAAGTAAACAAGAAGGATAAAGTATAACTACTGCTAAATGAAGCAGGTATTATTAAGGAAAGTTTTGAAGTTTTAATACTCTCAAAACATAAAGTTTTAGAGGAACACTTCTTTGAAAGTGGTGGTCAGGGATCTATGGAAAAGAGTGAAATGGTAAGAAAGATTTATTATTATTTAAAACTGGCTCATCCTTGCTTTATTTGCAAGAAAAGATTTGTTATCTACATGTTACATGCATTTACAACTCATATTATCTTTTTAGTTACAAATTTAACTATCTAAGAGGGTTACTTTTACTAATCGGTCTGTTGCTATCCACTATTGGGACCTAACATGCCAAGAATAACTAGTTAGTATTGAAATCAAAAGAGAAAAGAAGTTTGTATTTTCTAAAAAGTAACTATCTATGGATCAATTGGTGAGTTCTATATATCTGTCTTTGATTAGCATATCTTTCAAAGCTATGTATGATGGTTATCTTGGTTGATTATAATAATGAGATTTTCTTTTTCTTGGAAATTTTTTGTTGCCTTTTCCATTATTCAACTTTTATGCATCTGTTTTTTCATAACATTTGTAAGAAAGATCTGTATGTGTTTAATATTTGATGTATTATTTGGCAGGCTTTAAATTTTGAATTGTATGAAGTCTGTAATGGGCTGTATAAGAGCTTTTCTAATAATACCTTGAATAAGGTCAGTAATTTCTGTATCTAAGATATTATGTGTTAAGCTTTGAATTGTGGTTACCAAAGAAAATAATTCTTTTGATAGTTTAATATTCTTAAGGTTATCTTTGAGTATGTTAAATATTTTGTCAAGATGTGTTTGTATGCTGATTAAGCAAATAAAGAATGTGTGTTAGTTTTCTCATTGAGACAGATAATGCATTTGTTATCAGTGTATATATGAAGTTTGCGATGTAAAGTTTGTTGAGTGTAGACAATTCATTATTCCAGAGATTACTTGTGAATTTTCTGTTATATTGATCAGTAAAATATGTGTTGCTGTGGTTTATATTGCTGGGGTTAATACATCTAAACGTGGTCTCCCAGTTTATCATTTTGTTTCATTGTATATTTATCCTTTCTTTATTTCTTCTAAGTAATTTTCATTGTGTGATATATTTGATATAGAAAAGTAGTTTGACAAAGTCTTTTATTAGTGTATCTATAGTATTATGTCACCATTTTACATAACTGTGTAATATTGTTATTATAGGAGTGGGTGTCAATTTCCGAGCCCCTGATGCCATATTAATGTAGTCTATTTTTGCTAAAGAGTTTACCAACTTATTGCCTGCTATACCTGTGTAAGCCTTTATTTTGTGCAGATTAAATAGAATCTTAAATTGTTTACTTCTATACAAGATATTAAGCATGATAGACCAATTAAATGCATTATGAACTGTTTTGTTTGGTGCTATTTTCTCTGTTTTATGAATTGTTTGGATTGCTGCTTGGCTGTCTATAAATATAACAATTTGAGCCTACCATCTCACTTTCATCGAGACTGCCAAGACTACTAAGATTACTGAAACTGCTAAGATCACTGAGCTGACATCATTATGCCGAGACGATATCACAATCACACCATATAGATTATCTGAATTTATTCACCATAAATAGTAATTGACTATCAGACTATAGTGAATAAGGTATCAATCATTTCTTTTTATTTTATTTCTTTTCTCTTATTTTCCATTTATGATTAGTTGTATATTATATAAGTTGTTCAGACCATAAGCTGTATGATTTATGTATTTTTAGCCCTATATATTTTATATTTATCTTGCGCTACTTTAAAATATATAAAAAAGCTACTTCTTGACCTTAATAAAGATAACATTAAACTCATTGCCTAAGAATTCACTGATTCTGATATATCTATTTCAAGTCTTTTACAACTTGGTAGCAGTGAACTAATAAGATATTTCCTCCTTGCCATACATATACATATCTGAAACTCTGTTAAAATGAATATCAAACAATTTGCACACTTTATGCAACAGTTAACAATACCATGGCTACTATGATTAAAGAAATAAAGAAAGACAAGGGCAAAGAGAAGACTGCTACAAGTGATTCCTCTTCCTCTTCAACCATCGCATCAAAGATCACATTGAGAATTCACACCTTCAAAGGAGAAACAGGAGAAAATGTTGAGGTTTGGCTATGTAAACAAAGAACATTTTGAGAGCCCAAGAAGTCACTGAGAAATGACAAATGATTTACTATGCCACCATAGGATTTAAAGATGCTACCCTACACTGGTTTGTTAGCAAGGTCAAGGATTCTACTTTATCTGTCTTCCTCTCCTGAAATGAATTCAAGAAGGAGCTCAAAAATGCCTTCCAGTCTTCTCACTACCAGCAATATTTACGCACCCAGTTGAAACACCTGCACCAAACAGGAACCATCCAAGAGTATTACACCCAGTTCAGAAATATAGTAAGCCAAATTGACATCATGAAATAGTTAAACCAAGTTCCCTATTTCATTAATGGCCTAAAGCCTGCAATATATATAAAAGTAAGTCACCAAGCCCCCAAAACATTGGATGATGCATGGAAATTAGCAATCAGGTATGACATCACCATGTTTGGAGTTGAAAAGTCTATCAATGGAAGAAACACTGCAAGAAAATTACCAGTTAACAATAACCAATATAGAGGAAACCGTCCTACTGAATTGAACCAAGCTGAAACCCGACAATATAACCACAATCACAATAACCACATCCAATACTCTAAAAAAAACAACAACATTGAAAGAAGAACTATTACCTATTATAATTGTGAGAAGGAAGAACATATTGCTTATGAATGCAGAAGCCCATCAAAAGCCAAAGTAAACAATATTGAAGATATCTCATGCATTCCAGATACTAAATTCATTCAGATAAAAGAAAACAAGGAACAGTTGCTACATTTCAATAAAAAAATTAATGGACACAAGGCTTGGATCCTCCTAAATAATGGAACATCAAAGAATTTTATTGATAAAAAGTTTGCTGCAAGACAACAGCTGCCATAAAAGAATACCACCCCATTCATTATAAAACTTGCTGATAAAAGAAAAAAGAAAATCACCATTGAAATCAATATCAAGCAAGTAGAGTTGGACACCTACTGCACCACTGAGATCTTTGCTTAAGTTCTGAGCCTGTAAAGATATAATGTCATACTTGAGAAGTCCTGGTTGTATCATGCCAATCCTAATATCAATTGGAGAAGCAACACTCTCATCTTTCAATATGGATCATGCACCATCACTGTTAATGCTAGCTCATGCAGAACTAAAAAAGAACACGAATGTCAATCTCTTTTTATTCTAGACATCAATTTACAAGGATTTCATCTACTGAAGAATTATTGGCTATCTGTGTTATCACTGCTGAGAAAGTTATGCCCAAGGAAACCAAGTTTGCTGCTGAAGAAGCTGCTGTCATCAAGGAATTTGCTGACATATTTTCTTCTAAATTGTCAAACGAGTTGCCACTCTGAAGAACCATTGATCATGTCATAGATTTGCTGCCTGGAGCTGAACCACCCTCCAAACCTATCTATCGTCTCTCATTTGTGAAGATGGATGAACTCAAGAAACAACTTGCTGACTTCCTTGCCAAAGAATTCATTAGACCCAATACCTTCCCATTTGATACCCCTATACTTTTTGTACATAAAAAGGAAGGAACATTACATCTCTGTGTGAATTACAAAGCCTTAAATAAGGTAACTATCAAGAATTGATACCCACTACTGCGTATAAAGAAATTAATGGATCAAATAGCTGGTATCAATATTTTTCAAAAATTGATCTCTACTCTGGTTACCACCAAATTCCTATCAAAGAAGAAGACATTCACAAGACTGCTTTTAGAATCCGCTATGAACACTATGCATTCTTAGTCCTTCCCTTTGGATTGACCAATGCCCCTATCACCTTTATTATCTTGTTGAATTATATCTTTTATCCATACTTGGATGACTTTGTACTTGTGTACCTAGATGATATTTTGATTTACAGCAAGACAAAAATTGAGCACCTGCAATATCTGATAACTGTATTGACAACTCTCTGAAAACATCACCTGTATGCTAAAGCTAGCAAATGTGAACTTTTCCAATAATGTGTAGAATATATCGGGCATTTCATTTCTAATCAAGAAATAACTATTGACCCACACAAAGTAGAGGCCATTAACAACTGGTCTACATCCATTAATACTTTAGAAGTTAGATCCTTTCTAGGACTAGCAAGCTACTATCACAAGTTTGTATCTGGATTTTCTGCAATCACCACACCTCTCACTACTTTTTTTCACAAAGATAAATCTTTGAATTGACTAATAAAGCCCACAATGTCTTTGACATCTTGAAGAAAAAGATGACTACCACACCTGTCCTCCTGCTGCCTGATTCTATAAAACCATTCATTGTAACAACTGATGCCTTCAACTTGGCAATTAGAGCTATCTTAATACAAGACCAAGGAAATGAAGAAAAGCCACCGAGAAAAATTATGCTGTTCATGAGAAGGAACTTCTAGCCATTGTGCATGCCATTAAAACTTGGAGAATGTATTTAAAAAGGCAACAGTTCACCGTCATAACTGACCATGCTTCATTAAAGTATATCAAGACTCAATTTAACTTGTCAAGAAGACATGCCCACTGATTAAAAATCCTTCAAAGTCACAACTTCACAATTAAATACCAGCCAGGAAAAACAAATGTTGCAACTGATGCCCTGTCAAGACAACCATATCTTGCCTCCATCACTATACTCTATACTACTCTTGCTGATGATCAAACTTTTCTGCAAGCTTATTAATGAAACAAGTATTTTACTACCATTCTTGACATATTACAATACCTTGAGCAAGTTAAGGAACAGGAAAAGAATTGTGCCAAACACTTTATCTAAGAGAACCAAAGAATATACTTTTAGAAGAACATCATTTAACCATTCTTGTTAACAAACATATCCACACCCATATCCTTAAAGAGCATTATGACATAGAAGCCACTGGACATTTGGGAATTGACAAGATGATTGAGAATATTATGAGAACCTTCTACTGGCCAAAGATGGGAAAAGACATTTGCAAATATATTCAGACTTGTGACATCTGCCAAAGAAACAAAGCTAGCAATCAACAACCTGCTGGTCTTTCCCAACTATTATAAACACCTACCAAGCAATGGGAAGAAGTCATCATGAATTTTATTATACAATTTTCTCTAACAAGACAAGGACATGATGCTATTGTTGTGTTTGTAGACTACCTCCCTAAGCGAGTACACTTTCAACCTATATACTGTATATATCTGCCACAGCACCAGAAGTCACCAACATCTTTTTCAACACTATTTTCAGGAACCATGGGTTGCCAAGGACTATTGTATTAGACTGAGATGCAAGGTTTACTAGCCAATTCTGGCAAGCTGTATTCAAACACTTAGGAACTAAGACTACTATGTCTACTGTCTTTCATCCTTAAACAAATGGGCAAACTGAGTGAATGAATAGAACCTTAGAAGAAATGCTTACAGTCTACTTTATCTACAAACAAGATCAATGGAATGGATACCTCCCAGCTACTGAATTCACATATAACAACTCGAAGCAAGCCTCTACTGGATTCACACCCTTTGAATTAGACTGTGGACAACATCCAACTCTTCCAATCACCATGACAACAACTGTAACAACCAGCATATCTGCCACGGATGATTTCTTACACTAATGGAATATCATGATTGAATTAGTCAAAAACATACTCTGAGAATCCCAGGAATACAAATGAAGTATGCCAATGAACACCGCTGCTATCTCACATTCAAACTAGAAGATCAGGTTCTGCTCAACATGAAGAACACCAATGCACCTATAGATCGACATTGACCCACCAAGAAATTAATACCTAGATATGCTGAACCTTACACTATCTGTGAAATGATTTTCCCAACTACATACAAATTAGATCTACTATCTAGTATGAAAATTCACTCTGTATTCCATATCTCTCTGTTGAAACCATATCAACCATCATCTGACAATTTTCTCTGAGAAATTCTACCACTACCAGTTATCTACTCTAATAATGAACAAGAAAAATATAAAATTGAAGCTATCCTGAACAGAAGGACCATCTGTAAGAAAATTCAATACCTAGTCAAATAGGTAAGATATCTCCTTCATGATGCCACTTGGACCTCCAAGGATAAATTAACTAATGCAATGCAATTAGTAAAAGAATTTGAAGAGATGAGGACGTTTCACTCTTAAGAGAGGGAGAATGTAACAATCTGAGCCTTCTACCTTACTTTTGTCGAGACTGCTGAGACTATTGAGATTACCAAGACTGCCGAGATCACGAAGCTGATATCATGATGCCGAAACAATATCACAATCACACCACATAGATTATCTGGACTTGTTCATCATAAATAATAAATGACTATTAGACTATGGTAAATAAGGCACCAATTATTTCTTTTTATTTTATTTCTTTTCACTTATTTTTCATTTATGATTAGTTGTATATTATATAAATTGTCTGGACCATAAGCTGTATGATTTATATATTTTTAGTCCTATGTATTTTATATTTATCTTGCATTACTTTAAAATGTATAGAAAGACTGCTTCTTGACCTTAATAAAAATAACTCTTTTGTGCATCAAACTCATTGCCCAAGAATTCACGGACTCTGATACATCAATTTTAAGTCTTTTACAATAAAGATGTTTATTGAGAAATTATGTGGAATCACAAGTATTAGGGTAAGTATAGCCATTAACTCCACTCTTGTAGAGAATAATGGACTTGGGATCTGTCCCTTAAATGTATAAGTTGATTGTATGTTGTCTTCCAAAGTCCAATCAAAATCCATATATAACCAGTTGTTTGCTATGAAAAGTAATTCATCTGTATAGGCTATAAATTGGTGTTGTATTAATATAACATTGATTATATAAACAATTTCTTGTAGAATATTGATATTACCATTAATATATTGTTGTAGTTTCATAAGTTTTTGTTGGTTTGAATCAATAATTATTTGAATTGATATTGCTGAAGGAGGTTGTATATTAGCTTTAAAATTGAGATATTGTTGTATATTATGTGATAACATTTGGATTCTCCATAAAAGTTCACCCAAACATATGTTGCTAGAGCTTCTAAAAGTGCTCCTAACAGGTGCTTGCACAGCCTATTGTATAAAACTTTGGAATGTACAGTTGTATACATTGAAGATATGTTTGTTTATTAAACAGCTATTGCATAGAGTTAAGGATGAGTTCCTTTGAATTCTCTTATAGTATATATATATTACTTTTCTCTATATTTTTCTGAGTCTTGGTTTCCTACTGATAGTTTCAGAATCTCTATGTTTAGTAATTACCCAGTGAGCTCTTACTGATTGTACAATTGGGGTATATACTGTAGGTGAATAGGATTTTGGAGACCTTGTTGTTCTATTAGATCATTATCATGAAGTTGTTGTATAGTATCTGTAATGTCTTTATACCATCTTGATATATGAATTATTCGATAGTTGTGATTTCTAGAGATTTGATGCCACCTAAATATCTTGATACAATCTTCATTAAGTATTTGAAACAAAAAGATAATATTATATTTCTGCAGTTTGCATCTGAGATTGTTGTTCCATTTGATGCCAAGGTGTTGTTCTAGAGTTTCTCTAATGGATGGAATAGTGATTATAGATGAAGGAAGTTGAAATTCTATTTTCAATTTTCTAAGTATTCAGATGATATTATGTGTAAGATTAGTGCCAGGTTTAAATATGCTTTGTTTTAGTGAGGATGTTACTGGACAGGATAACCAAAACGTGTTTTGCATATCTTGTAATCAAAAAAGAGTTGTGAGTCCTATAAGATTGTTACTGTTGATTCTGGTTATTAGGTTTGTTGCATAAAACTGGACTTGTCTTTCAAAGAGATTGGTTATGTTGTATTTGTACTTGTTGAATAATACATTATTGGGAATGGTTGGGGCTAGTCTTACTTTGTGTTTGAATGTTTTATAAATTTGAGATATAATTTTGTTGTATATCGACTCTAGCAATACCATATCTGTTAATAAATATTTTAATCCAAGAATTAATATATGGTTGATAATATATCTTTTTTATTTGTCTGTCACTTTTTTAAACTTCATCAGGTTGAAAATTTTGTTGACTTTTTTATGCATTAGTTGTATTTGATACTTCTTATTGCCTTTAGAGTATTGCCATATTCCTAGAATTTTGGCTGGGACTGTTGGTAATAATTCTTGAATTAATTGACCATTGAGTGTAATGGTGAGAAAGATTTTTTTTTTTAAACTGGCTTATCCTTGCTTTATTTGCAAGAAAAGATTTGTTTTTTTTTTTAAAAAAAAACTGGTTCATTTTTGCTTTATTGTAAAAAAAGATTTGATTGTTTTTTTTTTTTTTTAACCGGCTTATCCTTATTTTATTTGTGAGAAAGATT